ACCACTTGAAAGGTCCTAATGGCTTGAGGGGGGTGAATAGCCTATTAAAAATTTCTACAACAACACTTAGCAAACTGGTTAGACAAATATGAGGTGAAGCAAGTGTTGCGCTAGCCTACTAAAAATGCAAGCCACCTACCACAATTCTAGTTTCTATAATCTCTATCCACACAATGGCTATGTCACTACACTAAGTTAGTGTGCTCTCAAAGGCTAACTAAAGAGCCACACTAACCAAACTAACAAGCTCTCACGACTAGCTACACTAAAGAGCTTGACAACTAATTTGTGGTAATATAAAGAGAGAGAGCAAATGGTTATACCGCCGAGTCGAGGAATGAACCAATCAATCACAAGAATGAATACCAATGAAGACCGATCACCTCGGAATCAAATGATGACACAATGATTTTTTACCGAGGTTCACTTGCTTGCCGGCAAGCTAGTCCTTATTGTGGCGATTCACTCACTTGGAGGTTCACGCGCTAATTGGTATCACACGCCAAACCCTCAATAGGGTGCCACACAACCAACACAAGATAAGGATCACACAAGCCACGAGCAATTTACTAGAGTACCTTTTGGATCTCTGCCGAGGAAAGGTCAAGAAACCCTCACAATTACCACAATCGGAGCCAGAGACAATCACCAACCTCCACTCGACGATCCTTGCTCCTCGAAGCCGTTTAGGTGGCGGCAACCACCAAGAGTAACAAGCCAAACCCACAGCGAAACACGAATACCAAGTACCTCTAGATGCAAACACTCAAGCAATGCACTTGGATTCACTCCCAATCTCACAAAGATGATGAATCAATGATGGAGATGAGTGGGAGGGCTTTGGCTAAGCTCACAAGGTTACTATGTCAATGCAAAATGGCCAAGAGAGTCAGCTTGTGCCGGCCATGGGGCTTAAATAGAGAGCCCCCACGAATAGAGCCATTGGCTCCTCTGTCCAGTGAAACACGGGCTGACCAGACGCGCCGGTGCATCCACTCCTCCTCTTCTCTATGCGTCGCCACGTCAGCAGGACCAGACGCTGAAGAGTGTTCAGCCAGAGTCTGGTCACCTGCGTCCGATCTCAGGCCGAGAGTAGCCCGAGCACACCTCTGGTTTTATAAATGGCCAGACGCTGCTCCCCCGAGTCCGGTCACCACGTGACTGGCGTCCGGTCACTGTTTCATAGTGACAAACACCTCCTTTACTTCACTAACTTCTCCACCCTTGGACAATTATGCCAAACACCAAGTGTATCACCTTGTGCATGTGTGTTAGCATATTTTCACAAACATTTTCAAGGGTGTTGGCTCTCCACTAGATCCTAAATGCATATGCAATGAGTTAGAGCATCTAGTGGCACTTTGATAACCGTATTTTGATACGAGTTTCACCCTCTTAATAGTACGGCTATTGATCCTAAATGTGATCACACTCACTAAGTGTCTCGATCACCAAAATAAAAAAGCTCCTATCAAGTTTCACCTTTGCCTTGAGCTTTTTGTTTTTCTCTTTCTTCTTCTCCAAGTCCAAGCATTTGATCATCACCATGGCATCACTATCATCATGATCTTCACCGTTGCTTCACCACTTGGAATAATGCTACCTATCTCATGATCACTTAGATGAACTAGGTTAGCACTTAGGGTTTCATCAATTCACCAAAACCAAACTAGAGCTTTCACAAGTCATATCCAACAAAAACCCCAATGATAGTGAGATTCTTAGATGTGGAGAAGGATCCTTTTAGACCATGGGAAGAAGAAGATATATTGGGACCACATGTCCCATATCTTAGTGTTGTCGGAGCACTAATGTATCTTGCTAATAGTGCATCCGGCTAGATATTGCATTCACAATAAATTTGCTGGCAAGACATAGTGCTTCCCCAAACAAACATCATTGGGCAAGAGTTAAAACTATTTTGAAATATCTCAATGGCATAAGATATCTTGGATTATTCTATAGTAGAAATCAAGATCCAATTTTGTTGGGATATACAAATGTTGGTTATTTATCAGATCCCCACAATGGCAAATCATAAATAGGTTTTATATTCTTGCAAGGTGGAGCATCAATATCTTGGAAGTCTTCAAAGCAGACTTTGATGTCTACTTCCACTAATTATTCTGATGTAATTTCTTTATATGAAGCATCACGCGAGAGCGTATGGCTTCGTAGAATGATAAACCACATAATGCAATCATGTGGTATTGGTGCACTTGAAACACCAACCATTATCTTTAAGGATAATGCGGATTGTGTTGTGCAGATAGAATCAGGTTATATTAAAAGCAATTTGATGAAACATATTACTCCAAAGTTGTTCCATCCACATGAGCTACAAAAGAATGGAGAAATTGAAATCTTGCAAACTAAGTCTTATGATAATCTTGCGGATTTATTCACAAAGTCTCTACCATACTCCACATTCCATAAATGTGTTGAAGGAATTGGTATGAGAAGGCTTTGAGACTTGTAGGGGAGAGTCCCTGTCATAGGCCTAATGGGGGCAGAAGGCCCATCTGGCCCAGGCACCAAGGGCAGCGACAACGCCACCTAGGGGGAAGGCGCGCATAGCAAGGGCGGCTCCCGTCGCTCCACTATCCATACACGGAGTAACTTCAATAAAGGAAAGAAATTAGGAATAGGATTGGTTGTGATTAGGTAGATAGGGAGGAGTCCATATCTATAAGGACTTTCCTCATTAGATTACTTAGGATACAAGTCTACTCAGGACTATAATAGAGAGGCTATGTAATCATTGAGATCAAGAAAGAACATCCTTAGGATTATCCTCCCCTTCCCTCTCCCTCTCTCCCTGCACCAACTCCTCCTCTCCCTCTTAGTAGCGCCGCCGCCCTCTCCCTGTGCCACCGCACATAGCCCCCTAAACCCTAGCCGCCGCCACCCCTAGAGGCCCCCTCCCAACCGGCATCTTATAGTCCCTCTAAATCATAACTTGTATTCTGACATCACATTGCAATTTTTTCTTTATATGAGTTTTACTCTTCTGGAGTTTCCTCGTGTAAAGTTTTTAATAAGGCGATGTCAACACATAGTGAATGTCATAATATCTACTTTTTCCTAAGGGGTTTTTTTAAGATAATATTTATGACATTGATCTTTGATCAAATTGTTTGTAGACTGTCTTTAGGGCCACCTTGTTGTAACACGGCTGCGGCGGGTGACGAAGGCCTCCGACAGCATGGTGTCGCTAAGGCGTCTTCGACCGTCTTGGGGTGGAGACCTGGCGCTAACTAAAGGAACTTTCCTGGCTATGCTCGTAGGGCACTACACGAGGCTCGGCAGGCTTGTCGCGAATTCCGCCCAGGCCGTGCGCTGAGACCTCCGACCTATGCTCAGGCGGACGCCGCCCCGCTTCGGCTCACGGGCGCCTCCGACCATGAGGGCGGAGGCCGCCTTACCTCTGAACTAATTAAACAAACAATCTTGCCTAAGTGTGTGCAGGTACTCAAGCGCAGGCGCCCGTGGTCCGCGCGAGTGCGCCAGCATGGCCCCCGCGTGTCCGGGCGGAGACCCACTGTTGACGTCTTCGACCGGACCGGCGAAGACCCGCCAAGGCGACGGCGCGCCCCCGATGATGTAGGCTAGCGTCGGGAACCACGGCCCCCGCGCGGCCGGGCGGAGAAATACGAACGATGTCTCCGACCGGACCGGCAGAGACCCGCCAAGGCGACGGCGCGCCCCCAAAGACAGAGGTCAGCATCGGGAACCCGAGTCTTTGGGCCGAGGATCGAAGCATGGTGGGCCGGCCGCTTGTGGAGGCCCATTACTTGGAGACGGCGTGGCAGGATTGCCCCGCAAACGAGAGACCAGTGTCGGAATATTCCAGGAATGTACTGTAGCAGTTGATGGGCATTGTAATAAATTCTGTCAGGAAGTAGTTGAGCCCTATAAATAGGGAACAATTGTAACCGTGCAGGTGGTTGGTGGAAGAATTAATAAAACCCTAATTTTGCGTGCCATTTCCTTACTCGCCCATTTATCGCGCCTGTTTCCCGTGCCTCCGCCGGGAGGAGCGGCGTAGCAGGCGGAGACCTCTACCTCCTCCACACCGTCTGAAAGGCGGAGGCCTCTACCTCCTCCACACTGTCTGAGACCGCCAGTTTCAACACACCTAAAGGGTCTACTAACATCAAAAGTAATATATCATAGTGTTCTTTCTTATTTTCTCATAGGGTTTTCCAAAGCTTCAAGATGATGACAGATGAACAAACAATGATGTCTAAAAGGAATGAATTGATCAAGGGGTAGTGTTAAGATTAATTAATTAGTGATCAAATAGTTAATCACGTCATTAGCAATTGTTAATGGTGGTTCCTGTAGACACAATAGAGAAGCACCTGCCCATGTTGGGCATGTAGATATACATTTACACTGTTCATCAATGTATCGATCGGTCATTTCATCCATCCATCGCTTTCATTTTTCCAACACATTCGATTCGTATCAGACATGCATTTTGCCGCAAGAAGTCAGGTGACTTATTAAGTCAGGTGACTGAAAACCAGTGACTTATAAGTCATGCCTGTTTGGTTGTAGATAACTTATAAGCTCATTAAAGGTGTAGGCCCCACGCGAAAAAGGGTGACTTATAAGTTTTAAGTAGGGTGAACTAACTTAAAACTTATAAGCATGGATGACTTATAAGTTGGTGATGTTTGACAAAATAAATCACTTTTTTACTTTTTAACTTATAAATAGGTGACTTATTTAGAAACAAACAGACCCTTACCCTCGGAAAGAAAGCAAATCACTAAATAATAAATACTCCTTGAAACCCTAACCTTCTGCCTTCTGGACGACGGCGCGGAAGATGGAGGCGCCGCTAGATGTCGAGGCGAAGCGGGGCGAGAGCGACCACAGCCACAAGAGATCGGGTCTGATGGAGAAGGCACAAGGCAGCCGGTGAAGTGGTTAGCGGCGGCGATGCCACCAAGACGCCGCGCGAGGGGAACAACGACCACCACGCCGTGGAGATGGAAGACGACGAGGAGGAGGAGGAGGAGATGGGGCCACACGAGATCTTTGGGATCCACCGCAAGGAGTGGATCGTTAGTTATGGCAAGAACGACGACGACGCCTTCTACAAACCGAGTACGTTTTCGTTGGGTCTGGTCGTCTGGATTGGATCTCTCTCCTTGCTGTTTCTCATCTGCATCTTCCGATGATCTTCGCCATTCTTTCCTGATTTCTATCTATGCCTGGCAAAAGCTATTTTATTATATGAATCGTACGTCTGATGGCCACATTATTAATTTGACAGCCGAGCTGCTTCCGATGCGTCACACGGATGGGCCGGTGCTACCCATCTACCTTCAGCCTATGGACACCATGGAGGTTTTCTTCGTCAAGGTGGCTCATCTCACTGGTGGCCTCCAGTGGTCTCTGGACGTCTATGGTGATGTTGCCGTGCGCGATTCCCTGGACTGGAAGCGCAACTACCTCTTCCGCCGCGACAGGAATAATTGCCAGACGCTCACTTCATCGCAGCCGCGCAGGCACCCAAAGCTTCATCCCTTTCACTCTCATTTCATCTAATCCACTAGCTGCGCGCACACTACACATTGTACATACAGGAGTATTATTCATGGTTAATAATCTGCTTTCGCTCGCTATATATGTTTTCTTTGCTCTTACCTCTTAGTTGCTGCTTAAAATCTGAAATGGAGCTAACAATTTGAAGAAATATATATGGGTGCTCATGAATGAAACTATTCTAGCTAAGTAGGAATACAGAATACTTCACTTGTCTAATGTGGTTGGAGAGATGTCATGGTAATTCAGTGAGTACTATTTATTCTTTGAAACTCATGAATGAAACCATTCTAATTAAGTAGGAATACAGAATACTTCACTTGTCTAATGTGGTTGGAGAGATGTCATGGTAATTCAGTGAGTACTGTTTATTCTTTGAAATGTTAGAATTTGTTTGTCAAAATGAAACTCTGATAATTATTTATTTCAATGGGCATTTATCCCCTGCTCAGTAGTTCTGCATTCTACTGAAAGCCGCTACTCTATTTCTTTTATCTCACAGGATAACTGAACCCATTTGTGTCTGACTTATGCAGGACTCACTCTTGGAACTTACAGGCCCTAGCCGTGCAGTCTTGCTTCTGGACGAGCCTATCTTTGAGATCGACCTCAAAGTAAAGGGCAAAGGGAGCTCAGCATTGTCTGAGGACGACAAGGTTTTATGCTTGGAGTACTTCGGGTACAACTGCATCGCTTACCGTGGATCCTCCAGCTACGCCAAAACGAAGGAGGTAACAAGCGAGAGCTGCGCGATGGAGTTCAGGTTCGCACATATCATAAACTCCGTGGAGGCAACCACCACCGCCCGCATCATCAACGCGTCATGCAGCTTCAGCGCCCGTTTCAGCGCCCGCACCACGAGCATCGGCGAGGACGTCGTGGTGCTGCTGGACTCTCGTGGATAGAAGGTGGTGCCCGTCGAGGACGGGGAGGTCGCACTGCAGCGCCGTGTTGTCGTCGTCGAGGAGCAGGGGAAGCTGATCCTTGGCTTGGATGCAGTGCTGTTTGGTGATGGTGGTGCTTCTGGGAGTGAGAGCACTGCTGTTTCGCAGAAGCTCACTTATCATCCCAGGTAGGCCTTGAGAAGCGTAGCTTATTTGATGTTGGTTTGGTTAGGATCCAAATGTGTGTCGCCTGGTCACTGCTTTCTTAAGACTAGGGTGGGTACTCGTGGGTTATGGCCACAAACCTGTAAGCATATATAACCTTTGGCCACTGCTTGCATTATTGCTTGACAAGTCATGTACCTATGGATGAAAACGGTACGGATATTTATTCGACCGTCCGTTCGACCGAACAAATATGAACATTTATCTGGATAGTTACTCGGATATCCGTAATTTTTTTCGGATACGGATACTAAAACGGATATCTTAGGCGGATATCAAATACGGATGTAATATCATCGATATCCAGCGGATATCGGATAATCCGGTTAAGTATCGGATATATCCGGATATTTAAAAACGGATATTATCCGGATATTATTCAAACGACCTTGGATGGAGAAATGATCAAACTAAAAATTGTAGATCTCAAAAAGTTATGAAATTTTGTTGTTTACAACTTTTTCGTTTGAAATCATTTAGTGCTTCAAAATTTAAACCGTCCAAACTTTCTCAAATGAAAAACTAGTTTATAGGTGTCAAAATTTAAAAATCACAAATTTGAACCATCCAAACTATCTCAAATGGAAAGTTGATCAAAACAACAATTGTAGATCTTGATGAGTTGAACAAACTTGGTATTCAAAACTTTTCAATTTGAAGTCATTTAGAGTTCATAATACTAGAGTCAAAGTGTTGTTTTTTCATTTGACCAAATTTGACTTGGTCAAACTTGTTCAAATGAGACACTAAATGACCTCAGATGAAAAAACTCTGAATACCAAGTTTGATCATCTCAGCAAGATCTACAATTGTTACATAGCTCATTTTCCCATTTGAGAAAGTTTTATCAAACACTAGTCATAAATTCTTAAATCTCATATAGACTTTCTGAAACTATGTCACACACTTGTGAAATTTGAACTACATTTTGTTCAAACTTTCTCAAATGAAAAAATAGCCTATATAAGGATTATATATCTTGATGAGATGAACAAACTTGGTATTCAAAACTTTTCAATTTGAGACAATCTAGGGTTCCGAAAACTAGTTTGTAAGAATCGAAATTTAAAAATCATAAATTTGAACCATCCAAATTATCTCAAATGGAAAGTTGACCAAAACAAGAATTGTAGATCTTGATGAGTTGAACAAACTTGGTATTCAAAACTTTTCAATTTGAAGTCATTTAGAGTTCATAATACTAGAGTCAAAGTTTTGTTTTTTCCTTTGACCAAATTTGACTTGGTCAAACTTGCTCAAATGAGACATTAAATGACCTCAGATGAAAAAACTCTGAATACCAAGTTTGATCATCTCAGCAAGATCTACAATTGTTACATAGCTCATTTTCCCATTTGAGAAAGTTTTATCAAACACTAGTCATAAATTCTTAAATCTCATATAGACTTTCTAAAACTATGTCACACACTTGTGAAATTTGAACCACATTTTGTTCAAACTTTCTCAAATGAAAAAATGACCTATATAAGGATTGTAGATCTTGAATCCATGACCATGACTCCATGAGATCCATGAAGCCATGAGCTTGGCTATTTCTACTCATGCCTCGAAGATTGGTGCTTGTATGATGTTTGATGTATGATGTATCTGTATCTTTATCTTATTTGTTGCTTTACTCTTTAGTCTTTCGGCTTAATCTAGATGGATTATGGACTCATAGAGTGGTGTAATGGTTTATGACGTATTATATATATATATATATATATATATATATATATATATATATATATATATATATATATATATATATATATATATATATATATATATATATATATATATACTCAATATCCAAATAGATATTTGTATCCGACCTTCTCCGAATCCGATTCATACCGTATTCGATACTCATTATTCATATCCGTAACCGAGTCAATCCATATTCGTATATGTATCCGAACGCTATCCATGTCTGAATCCGAATCCGAACAGAAATATGAAAACAAATATAATATGAGTGATATCCGTTCATATCCGATCCGTTTTCATCCCTAAATGTACCGATGTGTATTGTCTGCAATATATGCGTCAGATATGTATGCATGCGCTCTGGACTACCTGTAATGTGCCTACTGAAATGATGTGCATTGTGTTTTTGGTGGTGTGAGATCTTGAGGCCCTGTTTGAAAAGCGGGAACTAATTCCTATAAAATTATTGTGAAATTTCTGCGTTCTAAACAGGCCTTGAGTATTGATTGAGAGTAGAGAGCTGGAATTATTTTGCGATAATGCTTCCACGTGGCGTCCGGCTGCTCGGACGCCACTCAAACCGCTCCGCTCCGCTGCTTTAGTGCTTCACGGCTTCTAAAAAAATAGCGCCTCGCCTTCTCCATCGCAGGGGCCGCTTGTCGCGGGCAGCGCACCTGCCCGCCTTGGCCTTCTCCAGCGCGACGGTGCCGCACCCACCCCCTTCCTGCACTGCTCCGTGCTCCGCGCCGCACCACCATCCTGCACCGCGCCCCCATCCACCTCGCCCGTCGCGGAAGCTGAGGCAGGGGAGGCCTGCGCCCCCATCCACCTCGCGCCATCGGCAGGAAGAGAGGTTGTGGCCACCGGCAACGCTATGTTTCAAGTGTTTCAGACGCTTTTAGACATGTTGCAAGCCTATATTTCAAGTGTTTAAGTTGTTTCAGACATATGTTTCAAGTGTTTCATCTCATCTGAATGTTGTATATGTTGCTATGGCTATACACGCATGTTTCAAAGCATATGTTTTCAAACTTATGTTGCAAGTGTTTCATCTGGATGCTGCAAAAGTAGATCCAGAAATTGCATATGTTGCTATGGTTATACACGCATGTTTCAAATGTTTTTATCTGTTTCATACGTATGTTACAAATGTTTTATCTGGATGTTGCATGTTGTAATGGCTATTATGTTACAAATGTATGTTCCAAATGTTTTATCCCTTTTTAGACGTGTATTGCAATTGTTTCATCGAATGTTGCAAAAGTAGATTTGAATGTAGGGTCGTCGAGCAAAGAAAAGAGCAAGTGCGGGAGCCATGGCGGTGTTTCTAGTAAGCTGGCAGCAGCGCTCCACTAGAGGACACACAGGCTCCACGCCGTCCTACGCGGCCTCTGTTCCCCTATGACATGGTGCCTCCACTGCCCCGCCGGAGGTCATGGAGCAGAAGCCTGTGGCACAGCGCTAGGAGATGCAAAAGCTGGCTATACAGAATGTCCGGCTTTGCTGCGAGCCACGCCGCAGGTGACGCGGGCGCGGTGAGGATGGGACGCGGTGATGCGGGCGCGGCGGGCGGGCTCCCCTGTTACGTTGGCACGCGTGTGTCGAACAGCAGCTGCGTCCTCGGACGCGTGTGTCGAACAGCAGCTACGTCCTGAGCGGGCCTGGGGCCGGATGTTCAGGCACTAACCTTACTGATTATTTTGTGTAGGAATAAGGATGTCTATTGACAGTAGGGACTTGAGGTTATTTGTGAACGTAGGAAACTGCTTTGTCAAATGGAATGCATACTTGAGCCGACTTTATAGTCCCCGTACACAAGTCTGAATTCTTCCAGTTTCTGAAACGAAGTGCAATAATGCGGAGCGTGCACCAGAAGGGTTTTGCATTGACCACTCACCAGACACTCAGACAGGAAAAATGAATGGTTAAGGATTGATAAAGGATGTAATTGTAACTTTTAGCCAAAAACCTATTTTTACACGAATTTTCTCAGAATTAATTTTGGGCCATAATTCTTCCACATGTCCACCAGTCGGCTGGCTCTTTCATTAGACTTTGCGATCTGCACTTGGCAGCTCCATAAGATTAACTATTTTCAGAAACTAGAATTAAAGAAAAAATCCCTCTCATAACTCTCCTCTGTGCATCCAGAATAAGAAAAGAAAAAACAATTCAGCTACTAGAATTCATGCAGGGTCTTTCCAACAATAATAACTCATAATGTTAACTAATTAAGTGAAATCATCCGAGGATTAAGCTGGTGTTTGTAACATGACGTTTTTTTACATTTGGCACCGGTCCCAGGCTCACAGCAAGGGTGTCAGTGCATGTGTTCACGCAGGCGGCGCTTAACTGACGTAAACTGTTGCAAGGGGCAGATGGTAACCTATCTCAAAGAGTCAAGACTGCCTATGGCCTACGCTCAACAGGCCATTTACTATGAGGTGCTGGATTCTACTTTTTGTCGTTTCGATTGTGACTGCTTCATCCACTCGATGCACTCGTCCACGGTTCCGTTCGGATGCGCAAGCTGCCACTTCAGTACACGTTGTTGCTGCAACAAGAAACATGTTTTTTGTCATGGTTTTTCAGGGTCAAGAATTAGCCTGAATCTGGGGAAGGGAACAGAGTCATAGCCTACCCATTTTCCTATCAGTGGACCTCCTGACTTCACCTGCATAACTCCCATAATAGATTTCCCGTCGAGTACCGGCTTCAACTTCCACGCCCCATCAAGATCTGGAGAAGTGAAACAATAAACCAGGACAGTCAACAAATCATATGAACAAGTAAATCCACACGCTTGCAGTTATTGGAAAACCACAGATTCTACAGCCAGCATTTACTACTTTACCTAGGTCAGTTATGGAACGCTCAACTCTGGTGTATTTCTCCCTTCTCCGTTGCAGCTCATCCTGCTTGTTGAAGGTCTCAGCAGCATTTTCAGCTTCTGGGTAGGAGAGAATGGATAAAAGCAGTGCCACCCGCCAAAAGTCCTTTATTTCTCGGAGTACAAGTCCTGAAATGTTGAGAGTGGAACATGTTTCACAAATGTTACTTAAAACCAAAACGAATATATGAATCTTGTGACAATGAAAGAATCAGATTCAGTCATCACCAAATATGCAACAACTGTAACAAATCAAATGCATATCATGACATTGAATAATCAAATGAAGAAACATCAAATAATAGAAACCAATATTGAAGACCCTGACAAATTAAGAAACTAGCATGTCGAATACTGACCTGCAAAAACACGCTTCACACTGTCTCCTGGTATCTCAAGATATTCATCTTCCAGTTTCTCTTTGAGAGTACACACATCAGCATTTGACTCGAGTAGAGGAATTAATTCAGCAAATTTTTCACTAGCAGCATGTATGTTGACAACCTTTAGGAGAACACGACATTATTACAAGTTAATCTGTGTCTCGGTACACAAAACTGACCAGAATCACAAAAAATGCTGTTGGGAGCAACTTCAAGAGAACATACCGTTTCAGCATCACTGGTTTTCAACTTTAGTGAGTCCTTGATAATAAAGGTAGAAACAGGAACCAGCTGATGATGCAACAGACTCTTAAGCAAACAATTGAAAGAAATAATGCAACGAACATAAAAATGGATATTTGACAGCAGCTTCATTTGTTGAAATGGTCAAATGGATTTTAATATCCAAATTTATTTGCTCCTTAAGCTGGGCACAACTTTAGCAGCCAAAGCAAGCACAAAAATATTTATGGTGCAACATGCTATCTAGTCACCAACCTCCAATCAAGGTCTGGTAATTGTACATCAGAAGCCATACAAAACTATAAATTGTCCCTCCACAGGACAGAAGCTATGCATGTGAGCATCTCTGAGCATACAGTATTAAACAAGATACAACAATTTTCATGAAGAAGGTAATAAGGGGCTGCTTGGTTCCCTTGCCCATTCCAGTTTTGCCTCACTCAGCTAGGATACCTGTTTGGCAGCGGAGTTAAAAACTGGCTTTGCCCAGCAAGCTAGCTTGACTCACCAAGATTTTCCTTGCTCACGTTCGCCAAATCCGCTCTCCCAAGCGGACAAGATTTGCTTGCTCTGTACAGCCGTTTGGGCAAATCAGTGGAATGGGAAAAGAAAGAACATGACAAGACAGAAACCACGTTAGATAATCTATTACTCCCTTGTGTGAACACACGGCAGGGGAAGGCGGCGCTAAACAGGTATCCTGCTTTGGGTATCAGTAGCCGTTCAGTGGGCAGGCGGGCGCCAACGGCTCACCTGCCGCCTTGTGACCATGTGGGCATATAGCAGAGCAGACGCCGAGTCAACTTCTGCTTTGTCACATCTAGTCACCAGAAGCAGATGGCAAATTGTACTAGGACTAGATGGATAGAGTTGTATATATAGTTTGCCACTGCAACCCAGTAAAGAGAGTTCAGATTTGCATCTCCTATACAGAGCTCCGGCCAACGCTGGTGTCTTTGCTGTGTGTGTATGCTTTGTTCTCCCTCACTTCTTCTACCTCTAGCCATAGTGTGTGGTCGGACAATGTTTGTCGTGGTCGGCAAGACTAGTGAGTGGTCGATTCATCGGAGCCGGTGATCCTGTGATCCAACAAGTGGTATCAGAGCGTCGTACAAGCGCCGTCGCCGGACTAACCGCTGGCGATGACGGACGGTTTGGAAAGCCACAATAGGAGGTCGTTGTTCGCACGGTGCGGGAGGTCAATGGCACCAGTTGGCCGACGCTAACTCGCACCAACTATGGAGAGTGGTCGGTGACCATAAAGGTCAAGCTCAGAGCCCAACGGCTCTGGAATGCTGTTGACAAGGGCACCGCTAATGAAGAAGATGACATGTCAGTGTTGGAGGCTATCCTCGCTGCTGTACCGGCGGAGTATAGGGAGCCGTTGGGGGCGAAAACCTCTGCTAAGGAGGCGTGGGAGGCTATTGCGGCGATGCGCGTCGGTTTCGACCGCGCAAAAAAGGCGACGGCCCAGCTTCTGAAGCAGGAGTACACCAACCTCAAGTTCAAGGATGGTGAATCGGTGAAGTATTTCTCCCTCCGCCTGCAGACACTCATCAGCAAGCTGAAGAGCCACGGCATCACCATCGACGAAGAGGAGGCGGTCTCCAAGTACCCCCACTCCGTGTCGGCAAAGTACATCTAGATCGCTCTCTCCATAGAGACGATGCTGGATTTGTCCACCCTCACCATTGAGGATGTGACAGGCCGTCTGCGGGCGGTGGACGAGCGTCTGGAGCATGCGACAGCAACGAATGACAGCGGCAAACTGCTGCTGATAGAGGAGGAGTGGGCTGCTCGGTGGAACTCTGGGGTAGCCTCCTCCAGCCGTGGTGGCGATGGCAAGTACCACGGTAAGGCTTCTTCGGAGAAGAAGAAGCAGGTCGACCCCAACGTCTACCAACACTGCGGGAAGACGGGTCATTGGGCAAGGGAGTGCCCAAATCGCAAGCAGGAGAAGAAGGCTGATGCTCATCTAGCGCAAGCTGACGATGATGATGAGGCTACTATCCTGATGGTGACGTTCTGTGCACTGCGCGACGTCGAGGCCGAGGAGAAGGGAGAGGTGATGATGGTGAAAGGGCCTGGGAAGACGCTAATGGTTGTCAACCTCGATGAACCGTGTGCCCAAGTCCACCTCGAACGTGTGGGCAGCGAGCAAGAGCAGCAGTGGTACCTGGACTCCGGCGGCAGCAACCACATGATAGGCTCTAAGGCAACCTTCTCTGAGCTTGACGATAATGTGACCGGCACGGTGAAGTTCGGTGACGGCTCAAGGGGGCAATCCAAGGGCGCGGCACCATCATCTTCAGGTGCCAGAACAGCGAGCACCGTGCTAACGGATGTATATTATATCCCGCAGCTACGTTCAAGCATCATCAGCATTGGCCAGCTGGATGAGTGCGGTAGCGAGGTACTGATCAAGGACGGAGTCCTTAGGATCATAGACCAGGAGCAGTGACTCCTTACCAAGGTAAAGAGGTCCCAGAACTGGTTGTACCTGCTTGACTTGAAGGTGGAGTAGCCGATGTGCCTAGCAGCAAGGAACACCGAGGAACTGTGGCTGTGGCATGCCCAGTTCGGACATCTCAGCTTCGACGCACTTGGTTGGCTGGAGAAGATGGTCCGAGGGCTACCCCACATCGAGCACGAAGGCGAGCTGTGTGACAGCTGTCTGGCCAGAAAGCAGAGGAGGCTACCATTCCTAAAGGCGGCCAAGTTTCACGCGGTGGATGCTCTCGAGCTCGTCCACGACGATCTCTACGGGCCAATCACGCTAGCCACAAATGGTGGTCGGTGGTACTTCCTCCAGCTCGTGGATGATTGCAGTCGCTATATGTGGCTGCAACTCCTGATGAGCAAGGATGAAGCGGCGGCGGCGATCAAGAAGTTCAAGATGCGCGTGGAGGCCGAGAGCGGCAAGAAGCTGCGCGTGCTGAGGACTGATCGCGGCGGCGAATTCACTTCGGTGGAGTTCGCTGCGTACTGCGCGAATCAGGGTGTGGTGCGACACCACACCACGCCATACTCGCCACAACAGAATGGCGTGGTGGAACGGCAGAACCAGACGGTGGTCGGCATGGCCCGATCCATGATGAAGGCCAAGGGCATACCGGCAAGGTTTTGGGGTGAGGCAGTGACCACGGTGGTGTTCATCCTCAACCGCGCTCCCACCAAGGCCCTGAAGGGCAAGACGCCATTCGAGGGTTGGCATGGACGCAAGTCGAGTGTGTCCTTCCTCCGGACATTCGGCTACATCGGCCACGTCAGGAAGACGAAGCCGGTCCTAGCCAAAATGGAGGACAGGAGCACACCGATGGTGTTCCTGGGCTACGCGGAGGGTACCAAGGAGTACCAACTCTACGACCCACGTGGAGACAAGATGCTTGTCTCGTGCGATGTCATGTTCGACGAGAAGGAGGCCTAGGACTGAAATAGGCCGAGCATGGGGGAAGCTGGTGGCTTCTTCAGCACCTTCATCGTCGAGCACTTGGTCATCCACGGCTGTGGAGACGTTGGGGAAGAGGTGATGAGCACTCGGGAGGGGTGCTGAGCACTCCTGGGGAGATGCCGAGCACTTCAGGAGGAGTACCGAGCACTCTAGGAGTGATGCTGAGAGGTCCTACAGTGGTGGCAACCACTCCAGGACGGGTGCCGAACACTCCCATAGCGGAGCCGAGGGGTCTTGCATTGGTGCCGACCACTGCAAGACGGGTGCCGAGCACTCCAGGAGGGGTGCAGACCACTCCAGCAGTGGTGGCGAGCGGTCCAGGAGTAGTGCCGAGCACTGCATCCGGGGTGCCGAGCACTCCAGGTGCTGTGCTGATCACTCCGGTGGAACAGGGAACTCCATCAACACTGATCGAGTTCGTCTCACCTCCAAGTGACATCACTAAGTTCGTGGATGCCTTCCACGATGGTGAGGAGGTGCGGTTCCGCAAGCTGGATGACATCGTCGGTGACACAGGGCCCTCAGGCTTGGTGGGTCGGCTGCTCAATGACCCAGAACTACTGCTCGTCAGTGCAGAGGAACCACCCACGTTCGCGCTGGCCGAGCGTGATGGAAATTGGCGATGGGCGATACAGGAGGAGATGAAGGCGATCGAGGAAAACGAGACTTGGGAGCTCATCGATCCACCTCCAGGATGTCGTCCGATCGGCCTGAAGTGGGTGTACAAGGTCAAGCGGGACGAGCATGGCGCCACTGTCAAGCACAAGGCGTGTCTCGTCGCCCGAGGCTTTGTCCAGCGCGAGGGCATCGACTCCGAGGAAGTTTTTGCGCCAGTAGCGCGCATGGAGTCTGCCTATTTGCTACTAGCCTTGGCAGCAGTGAAGGACTGGCACGTCCATCACTTGGATGTAAAATCGGCCTTCCTCAACGGCGAGTTGGCGAAGACAATCTTCGTCGGGCAACCTCCAGGTTTCACTGTCAAGGGAGCGGAGCACAGGGTGCTCGGACTGCGCAAGGTGCTCTACGGGCTGCGGCAGGCTCCACGAGCGTGGAATGCCAAGCTTGACGCCACGCTGGGCGATCTTGGGTTCACGAGGTGCGCAACCGAGCACGTGCTCTACACACGGCGACGGGGGAAGGAGGAGCTCGTCGTCGACGTGTATGTGGACGACTTGATCGTTACCGGTGCGCGTCACGGAGGACAACGATAGCTTCAAGCGTGAGATGGCGGCTCGTTTTTTAATGAGCGATCTTGGGGCGCTCTCCTACTACCTCGGCATCGAGGTGAGACAAGGGAAGGAGGTACTCATGCTCGGCCAGAGTGCGTATGTCTCGAAGCTGTTAGAGCAGAGTGGCATGGCAGAGTGCAAGCCATGCGTGATCCGATGGAGGAGCGGTGAAAGCTGACGAAGGCCAGTACCATGGTGAAGGTGGATGCAACACTCTACTGGAGCATCGTCGGTGGTCTGCACTACCTAGTCCACACAAGACCAGACATTGCGTTCACCGTGGGCTACGTCAGTCGCTTCATGGAGGATCCTTGAGAGGATCACTGGGCTGTAGTGAAGCGGCTACTGCGCTACATCAAGGGGACGGTGGATCAGGGGATCATCTTCCCTAAGACCGGCGGAAGTAGGCTGCAGCTCACTATGTTCAGCGGACATCGACGGACGATGGAGCA